AATGAGGTTTGTCTAAGACAGGCAGATGACCAGCTTTTGTAGCCACTGGGTGGCAGAGGTTGACCTTGTTCTTCTCATGCTACTGCCTCCACCTCCCAAGTGCTAGTGATTACAGTTTTCCATGACCGGTTTTAGGAATGCTGGGGCTTGAACCCAGGGCCTGTGCATGTTTGGTAAGCATTCCTTAACTGAACTTCATTATTAGCATGAAAATGAGAATGGTTTAAGGTCATGCTAATTTTATGAAGTAGCATTGCCTTTAGCAGACTTGTGCCTTATAATTTGTGGTTAGTTGATCACCATAGATTCATAGTAAAGCATTTGAATTGTTGATTAGGCCCATCTGCCTGAATCATAGCCATAACTTAGAGCAGAATACTGGTGCCTTTAATTTTACACTCTTGACAGATCAAAAATGTATAGCTTTTAGGAAAACTGCTTCTTGTTTTTTTCTTACAGATAAGGCTCAATTACTTGAAATAGCCAAAGCTAATGCAGCTGCCATGTGTGCTAAGGCTGGTGTTCCTTTACCACCAAACCTGAAGCCTGCACCTCCACCTACAATAGAAGAGAAAGTTGCTAAAAAGTCTGGAGGCGCTACCATAGAAGAACTAACTGAGGTAAGCTAGACACAATTTGTTTTCATTCTTAAATGGATTATTCCATGGACATTGACTCTGGAGCGTGCCAAAACCTGAATTGTGGGCTGAACTGATAATGGCTGGCACCGAGTGCCCAAAACCCGAAATACAGATGTGGCAGCGGCAGAAGCTCTGTTTAGCAGGCCATTATCCGGGATGGCTAAGCTCCGCCAGCTAAAAAGTTACTTCCCATTACTTTTGCTTTCCAGTTTTAGAAGCCAAACTGACTGAGGAGTGGAACGGTTCGTTTGAATGGAGGAGGTGTTGAGTGAGCAACACGCAGAAGCTCGCCTACAGTTTCGTTTCCATTCACGACGTGTTCACTGATCGCCAAGAGTGTACTGCATATACGCAAAGACACAGACAATCTTCAGAAATGATCTTTTGCCACCGGAGCTTGGAAATTAATGAGAATAGCTGGCCATTGCCTGAAAGGAACTTCTTTCGCATCAACATTTCGGGTTTTGGCTGTTTGGTACCAGCCATTGGCGATAATGGCCGGCCATTATCAGTTCTTCCTGCGGTTCGGGTTTTGGCAGTAACATATTTTAAATATACTTATTTTTGTTTTTAAAAATTTGATCTTTTGAAATTGAGGCTTTTGGGGGAAGCTTTGTTTTACTTTAATATTTTTTTGTGTGGGGGGGAAGACGCTGAAATATTGCTGCTAGGATCCAGAAATAACACACTGTTTCATATACTGAAACTTGTTATTGGCTAGCCTTATGCCAGCCTGCCACTGTCAACATATTCTGTTCCCATTGGTTACATGCTTGATACACTCTTGTGTTTTTGGCTAATTGAGCTTTTTAATTCTATTGTAATATTTTCAATTGATAATAGATGTGATAAATTCTGCTTGTATAGACTGGTCTACTAAAATTTACTCCTAACCTTTTTATAAATGGACTCTGTTCCTTTGCTTCTGAGGAAGGGATTGACTTTATATGTTGGACTGCACCAATTGCGCCCTCTCCATCATGCCTTATTTTCCATTCTTAAGTTACAGCCCTTAAATAAAAAAAAAAAAAAAAAAAAAAAAAATTATGGAGAGACATGTTACTACACTGCTACCAATGCTTAAGACCTTTTACCAACATTTGGGGATTATAAAGTTTCTTAATTTGTTTCCTCACCTAGATTCACTATAGTATGAATTATAACTTAGACCTAGCAAAAAGCCTCTATTGCTTACTTACCAAATGCAAGCTCTTTATCTAAAACTCTATGAACATTTAGCGGTTTGCTGTTGTTTGCCTCATCTTCAGCGCTCTTTTCCCTCAGACAAGTCTCTCCTGACTTGCTCACTACCACCTGACCAAGTTGACTTTCCTTTCCTTCCTATTTCTTGTTCTTTACTATGGAAATTTCGCTTAGAATTCTTGAAGGGAGTGTTCTTTGATCCTCAGACCTTGCCTGGATATTCTCTCTTAAGCCTTTGTTCTTTTAGCGCTTATGTACCCTGTTTGTATTATATCAGTTTGCACTTGTTATTGTTGCTCTGTAAAAGGTTCTTTAATTACTTAAAGTGTATGTACTCTTGTCTCGTATTAGATTGTAAGCTCCTTTGGAGCAGGGACCACGTCTTTTTCTCTCTCTCTCCTTTCGTTTCTTCTTTCTTTTTTCTTTCTTTCTTTTCTTTTTTTTTTTTTTTGTATTATTCTCAAGACAGTGCCCAGTACAGTGCTCTGCACATAGTAGGTGCTCAATAAATGTTGTTGACTGACTGAGCAGCCAGTGTGTCTTTAAACAATAGCTAGTAATTTAAGTTGTAGTTATAAGCTATCATAAATGCTGATTACTTGAAATTGATCTTGTGTGATACTTCTTAAAAAATTACATGCTGTTTTATGTAAACCATATTCATCTTTTGTTTGTTTTTACTTTAAAGAAATGCAAACAGATTGCACAGAGTAAAGAAGATGATGATGTAATAGTGAATAAACCTCACGTTTCGGATGAAGAGGAAGAAGAACCTCCTTTTTATCATCATCCCTTTAAACTCAGTGAACCCAAGCCCATTTTTTTCAATTTGAATGTGAGTATTAGTAAAGTGCTTATGGACTGATGAAGTAGCACGTCTTGTGGGACTGTTTAAAACCCATGTGGAATTTAGTATATTGAGTTTAAGCTCAATACTGTGATGAATAGTGACAACATTTCCTCTAAAAGTTGGGCTGGGAATGTTACTCTGTGGCAGTGTGTGTGCCTAGGATGTGTGAGGCTCTAAGTTCAATTCCTGGCACTGCAAAAAATAAAAGTGAACCTTCCCTTTTATTAAATTCTTTAGAAACCATATCTGTTAAAATGGATTTTAATTAAATACTATGTTTTAGATTGCTGCAGCAAAGCCAACGCCACCAAAAAGCCAAGTAACATTAACAAAGGAATTTCCTGTGTCATCTGGATCTCAACATCGGAAAAAAGAAGCCGACAGTGTTTATGGAGAGTGGGTTCCCGTAGAGAAGAATGGTGAAGAGAACAAAGATGATGACAATGTGTTCAGCAGCAGCTTGCCCTCAGAGGTAAGTAGTAGGAATATTACATGTTTGTTTTTATATCTGAATCTTCCATTTTATTGTTATTTTATATCTGATTTGGATTCTGTTTCACTCTTCTTAGGGCCGGGTTAAACGGCAGGGCCGGGTTAAACGACAGATGAAACAACCCGCAGCTTCTCATTTGACAGTAACTCGATGCAATTCACTTTGTGGAACGAAGCCACAAAGTGAAAAGCATCGAATTGCAGAGAAAAGTGTTATCACATCCCTACCCAACATTGGGCCCTCCATGCACTTGTGGGAAGGTAGCCCAAGGTACAACTATTTAGCATCCCGTTTTGCCTCAAGGCTCTATAGCTCTAGATTTTGGTGGTAGCAAGTTTACTGGGTGGAGGGGTTGAGGGGAGAGAAGGCAGATCCTCAGGTTCAACACAAGAACTGGATTGAAAAGTCATCGTAGGCTGATGTGAACATCTTGGGTACATAGCCCATTGCCTTTAAGTAATGGTTTCTTACTGTTTTTCTGGGTTTTCAGATAGCCTTTGATTTCAGTAATTTCCCTTCCTTGTGCTACCTTAGCCCTTTTGAATTCTTGTGTTTAACCTAGTGTTCAGCCTTGGTTCTCCATTCCCTTCTCCTTCCCCTCTTTGCTACTATTAAAAGTTGGAGGAGTGGAATTTATATATTGAACTTCCTCAAGGCAATAGTTGTATCTTGTCAAAATGACGCAGTAACAATGCCAAATGTCAAAACAACCCCATTAAAATGCCGCCTGATTAAGTAATGTGCTGCTAAATACAGTGCACATGAGAACAGCAAAACTGTATATATATGTAAATATATATATATCTGTATCTTTGTATGTATCTCTGTATCTGTATCTTTGCTGTGTCTTTTAATAAACAGTTTACTTTTATTTAACTTGTTGTGCAAAATCACGCTTGGGGATCTGGGGAGGGTGGAGACTTGACTAGGGGAGGTGGGAGTTAGAGACTAGCTGTCGTCACCTTGCCCTTGGTTTCCAAAGCCTTGACATTGGTCCAAGGATTGGACTTAGATACCAGCTGCCCTTATAGAGTCCTTTTTCTTGCAGTTCTGAGGTATGTAGGTCTGAGAGCACTCTACTCTTCACTTGAGGTTCCCTACATTGGCCATAAACATTTTCCAATAAACACTTCAATTCTACAAAGAAATCTTGTTTATAAAAATCAAAGTAAACAGAACTCAAATCAGAAACCTTTTCATGCAGTATTTTTCCCCATAGGTAATCACAGGCGACATTTTCACTGTGTTTTTTTGACCTGCGGCATTTTGAATGGGAACAGTTCTATGTAGTAATGCTGAGCATAACTGGCCAGTGAAGCTAACTTACTTACAGTTAAAGGTGATGGTCTGTATTCACACGGAGTTCCATAACTGAAACGTATTACACCCATCACCAGTGAGGAGGAGGATAGCTGCTTTGGGCAGTCTGTTAGTTTGAACAAGTTTAGTGTTCATTTACTAATCCCCAAATCAGGCTTTTGTCACACCTCAGGACGGAAGCTGACTGACACTTGCAGCTAACTCAATTTTCTTGTAGTAGTCGGGTATAAACAGGTGAGAGTTGGACAGATTTAGATACACTGATATAGGCTTTTAGTTATTTATTACAGATTAAGCATTTAAACATTTGGAAAGAACATAGCTAGGTGAGAATCTCCTATGTAGCAAAGACTTAGAAATATTGTAGAATTGTAACACTTTCCTGAGAAAATGATTATAACTGAAGAGTCATGGGAAAAGTGCTTAGTGCTCGTTGATTATACTTTTTGACCAAGAAAAACTTTATTATTTAGAATTTATTACTGCCATTTTTAGTCTCACCACTAAGGGCCTTGTCTCCCATCAAAAGTGAGGTTCTTATTATGGGTCGGCGTTGAGAGAGGGCGGCAACACTGAAACAAAAGGAAAGCTCTACCAGTGCTGAAATAAATGAAGCATAATAACTCTTCTGGGGAGATACATGCAATGTGAGAACGTCAAGCTACTTATGGAGGCTTCGAGTCAGAGTATAGAAATTAACTTCAGTTATAACGAAAAGAATGCCAAACTTCTAGGAAAAAGGGATGTGATTCTTTTGCTTTCAAATCAGTATTTCTGTAGCACTGTTAAAGGTGCCTAAGCCGAGATAGATAGTACTCAGCTTGTTACTTAGTTACCATTTAATACGTGTCCCATATTTGTAGAATTGTTATGCTTTCTAACAGTGAAGTACTTAGATTGATATATTCTGGGAACACTGACCTTCCTGATTTGAGTAGCGCTTCAAATTAAAAAAAATTGGGGGGGAGGGGTGGGTGACAAATTTTTTCTGAATGGCAAGGTAATATTTTTTAAATCAGTTGTTTTTGTTTTAATAAGTATAATTAAAGTTTATGGTTCTTTGGTCTTGACCATAAAACATTTCAGCAAGGGTGCAAAGGGCTAAGTTATCCTTGCAATTCCTGATCCCACGGTTGTCTTGCACTTGAGTGTGCTGACATGAGTGGGTAGACACGGACGAAACTGCGCAGTCCATCAGCTCATCAGCTCCTTGTGCCATAGCATCATCTTCCTCCCAGACACCAGCCAGCAGCGTCCTCAGAAGTGACTACACAACATTCACCATGTTTATGTGAATCTGATTTGCAAACAGAAAAGTTGGAAAATTAATATTAAAAAGTTGCCAGGGACAGTTCTTTAATATGATTAGCAAAGGCTAATTGGTTAGAAGATTAGAGCAGTATGTACAAGTGGAGTAATAGGACTGTGGTCATAACCACTAATTTGGAATTCACATATACTTAGTATCAATTATAATTGTTTTAAGGCCAGCTCTAGTTATTGCTCAGATGTTAACATCATTTCTGTCTCAAGCAGTGTGTTAGGTTTGTATTACTTGGTCGTATCTACATCTTCAGTAGTTAAAATTCTTTTGAAATAGGAAACTTAGTTTATGAAGTTTATCAATGCTAACTTGCTGGACAAGGATAAAAACAGATTGAATGAAGTACAGGTTCTTGAAATATATATTGGCAGACTGTAAGGTGTGGCCTCGTTACTTCCCCCCCCCCAAAAAAAACTTTTATAGGCTGTTAACTGATTTCTCAGAACCACTTACAATGAAAAAAATTATTAACTTATTTAGATTAACTCAATTATGCTATAGAATGTTGTATAATAAAAATATTAATAGTTCATTAAAGTCACTTAAGGATGTTCTATGTTGATGTGCCTTTCCTTTTTGAAGTTGACAGTATGTTATGTATGAACTGGGTGCATTTTAGTAATTTTTGTTAAGTATTGTAAATGCTTTATAGGCCAGATATTTTTAGCTGTTTTGTTGCAGATTTTCTTTTAGGCCTTTTGAGATACTTGCAGTCACATGACCTGTGGAAAAATGATCCAATTTAGCCCATACTTAACCTTTACCTTTTTTCTATCAATCACTTACATTCTGTGAGGTCTTAAGAACATTTTTCATTTGTTTGTTTATAGAAATCACTGGCCTTATTAACAAAAGGGGAGAGTAAAGTGAATGGAGGAGGAACTGAAGTGCAAAATATGTAAAAGAGAACTTAGTTTATGTGTGTGTGATCACCAAACACAAAATGTGATAACCTGATAATGTCTACAGTCTTTAGAGGAGCTGTAATCTGCCTTTAGATAAGGATTAAAGGAATAGGATTGTTTTTTATTAATGTGAGAGTTGTAATTTAGGATACCATCTGTAGATTTTTTTTTTCTTATAGGGGAGGAGAATTCACATAGTAACTTTACAGATGTACATTTTATACTGGTAGGCAAGATGAACTGCTCATTTATCAGTGGAAACATAAAGCATGTAACAAGTGTGTTATAGACTTAAAAAAAAAAAAACAACCCTTTTCTTGGTTTGTAGAAAACCAAGAAAACCTTGGAACATTTTAGGCTGGTGAAGATTTTAAAACATCTTTCAATGTAGCAGTCATCAGCTTCTAACTTCCCCAAATTCTTAAGTGCTAGCTGTGTGGATTTTTCGTTTTGTTTTGTTTCCTAAGACAGTGTCTCTCTACATAGCTCTGGCTGGCCTGAACTCTGTTATGTAGGCCAGGCTGCCCTCAAACCCAAATTCATGAGCCTCTGCCTCCAAAGTGCTGCAATGAGAGGCGGGTGCCACTATGCCTAGCTAGCTGTTGTATTTTATATGTTTAATTAGGCAATGTGATATTTGGTCAGATTCTTGAGTATTCTTGCTTTTCGGACTATGGTTAGTCCTTTCTGTATTAGCATATATTATGAGTTACCTTGAAAAGCTGGATAAAGTTCTTGTAGATCTTAAAAACTTTTACCCTGTCTTCTTTTGTGGTGCTGGAGATGTAACCCATAGGCCTGCACATGCTGGGCAAGTGCTCTGCTGTCCAGCTACACCCTAACCTAAGATAACCTAGACTCTCTCCATCTTGAATATATTTTAAAATTAGAAATAGGAAATTAAGAAAATTTTTGATGTGAACTTGCTACTTTATTTGCTAAGCCTGTTGAATAAATGCAGTTGTGTAAGGAAATAGTTTAATTTAAATAGCAGGTTATTATATTAAACGTGCCTTTTACAATGAAATATAAATTTGATATAAAATAGCACCATGACTTACGGAAGTTTTTATTTGGGGGCTTCAAGGGGTATTTGGGTTATTTCTCAATAAAATATACAAGAAAAATATAGTAGGTAAATATGCCTGTAAAGGATGAATTCTTAGTTAAATTTTTGTTGAAGATTTAGTTTTGGAGCTAAGTGCATTTTTATGGCTTATAGTTGGAAATTGAAGGGTTCTGACTGGAATGCATAGACAGTTTTTCCCTTGATCTTTCAGATTTCAGTCTTTCCCTGTGCCTTAACACCCTGTCACTTAGGTTTACAAATTGCTCTGAAAGCAGAGCAAGTCTAAGAAGGGCCCTGAGATGGTATGTGTCTCATTTGCTGGTTTGGTGGGGCTAGACAAACTGCTTGGGTAATCCCACTTGAGAGTTTAGTTGGCATCTATGGTAGGCCTAGAAAACTTAAAATTTGTTCTGAAAGACCCAGGGATCACATGGAGCAGTTTAGAGTTCAGGAATTAAATCAACTCATAGTAAAAGCAAAAGGTGAATACTGTGTGTTGGTGTACCTTTCATAGATTGTCCTAATTGTTGTAGGTCTTAAAAGAATATTAAGCATGGGTAATTTACTGTTAGCTAAGCAGGTAAGAACTTTTATTGAAAGTAAATAAACAGTCTAATAATAATAAGCACAAATTACGATTTTTTTCTTTAAGTTAGAAAAGTTGGCTTTGTAAAAAAAAATGATTTAGTCAAAGGAGTCTTAAATAATTTCAGTCAGGATAACTTAGAATACCGTGTAAGAGAATTTGAAGTTGGGACAAGGACAATAGTCTTTATTCCTCATCCTAAATCTTCCTGAGGTATATAGATTTTTTTTAAGAATTACATAGTATAGCGAGATTACCTTAAAAAAGCTATTTCACTGACTTATTTATAATATCCATGCAGTACTTACTACTGATTCTTTGTAGTGAAAACAATAAATCATTGTGTTAGATAATATTTTATTAAAGAAATTAGTGGGTTGATAGAACTCAATTTGTGTTCGTTATAAACAAAACCCAAATAATGGCCAAGTTTTTTGTTCTGTGGTTAAGCCCTTAACCTAACACCTGAGAATTTAAGGGTGTCTTAAAAAAGTTAAACTTATGTCTGCTTTACACAAAGAAGTTTTTTTTTTTTTTTCATTTTATAAAGAAATCTGTGAGGCTGATAACCTACCTTATACATACACCTCCTGTCTTAGGCTACGTTTTAAAAGATTACAGAATTTTGTAGGAGGACTTAAAACACTTTTAAAAATTAATGTTCTAGGTATGTTACTAAGTGTTTCTAACTTCAAAACAATGTATTCTTTCAAGACCCTGGTTTCTTAGGACCAAAGCATACCCATGCCCAACTAACTGTGCTCCTGTAAAATGTGCTAATGAGTACAGAGCCATGTTGATTCTAGTGGTGCTCTGCTTGCTTATCCATGGATTTTTCTTACTACTTCTGGAAGTTACTAATAATCATGGAGAGTAAGATGAACTGGTAAAGGTTTAAAAACTACCATTTTACCTAATGTGGCTTGTTAGTACAGATTAAAAATTATGAGTTCATAAAGAAACTCAATAGTTAATAGTTTGATACTGTAGAGAATACACTAATCAGTAGGAATTTAGACTGAGTTCTGCCTCTGAATATTTGGTAACTAACTTACCTTCATTGTCTTCTATTTTCCAGGAGTGCCCTCTTTGCCTTTTGAATCTTCTCATTTTCCAAGAATCTTAATATACAGACTATTATTTATTTATTTTTACATGTAGCATCTAAAGATAAAGAAGCACCTGAGAGAATCAGGGGACTGGTAATTTGGGATAATTATCTATGTTTTTTTTCTTAGCCTGTGGACATTTCAACAGCAATGAGTGAACGGGCACTTGCTCAGAAGAGACTCAGTGAGAATGCATTTGACCTTGAAGCCATGAGCATGTTAAATCGAGCTCAAGAACGGGTATGTGACTTTTTTTAATGTTTAAATGAGAATTTCACTAACTGGATGGCTGAATCATTACAACACTAGTTGTGAGGAACCATCATTTTGGGGTGTGTATTAGTGTGGAGTGCATACACTATATACCAAGTCTGCAAACCCTATTTTATACTTTATACATTTTAAACTTTGTTCTGTCTTAGTAACTGACTTTTTTTAAAGTAAAAATAACACTAAGCAAATGTTTATAATTTATTACATACTGTGGCAGGAACTCTTTCTTGAGGAAAAAACAGAAAATACATCCTGTCTTCATAGAGTTATAGTCTGATGTGCACATACAGTGCTCAGAACAACTCCTGAGATAGAGCTATTATTTTCCATATTTCAGCTAAGCAAACTGAGCTGAACAGTGGTCAGATGATACACACAATTGGTAAGCAGAATTGGCATCTAAACCTAAACAATAATGAATCCAGACTGTGTTTTTAACAGGAAGGAGATGGCTTTTCATCTCTATGCTAAGTCCATGTAGAAACAGTTGAAGTAGGAAGTAACATTACTGGCAATACCAGACATGCATTACGTATAGTATGAACGACCTGATTTATTGCACAGTAGGTGTTGACGAGTGATGTGGTATTTTCTGTCGATCATTTTCTACATTATGCCTTAGATAGATGCAGATTACTCTCCCACAGGAAACTGTTTTCTGCTGATCATTTTCTTTATTATGCCATGGATAGATACAGATTACTATCTCATGGGGATTAGTCAGAGATCTAGAATGTGTCATTTATTTGAATGTGCATGTATGATAGGTCAGATGGCAAAGGCCAGAGATCTTCGGCCATAAGAACTAAATTTTTCGTGTATCTTATATTTCAAAGAATGAGTGTTACAGTGATAATTTTTAGTTGGAGATGCACCTCATACCTTCTGTTGCATTAGTGGATTTCACTGAATGCTGTACAACTTATTTGGAAGACTTAGAAAAAAATTTGAACTTATTTGGCCATTTTAGGAAGCAATTCCATTCTTCCTCAGTGAATTAAACTGTTACCAGTGTGGCACTTTCATCAGGT